TGAGAGTGCACAAACTGTTCTCCAATCTTGTTATTTGGGGCCCATGGTAGCTCTTTCCTCATCCTGTTCCACCACAATCACTACCACTACCACCACCACTACCACCACTACCATCACCACCACTACCACCACCACTACCACTACCACCACCACTACCACCACTACCACCATCACCACCACTATCTCCTTCACCACCACTATCTCCATCACCACCACTATCTCCTTCACCACCACTATCTCCTTCACCACCACCTCCTCCGTCACCACCACCACTGCTTGAGAACATAGTTGAGCTAAAGGAGTTGGTTAGACAAAGGGACGTGTTGAGGAAGATGGCAGATTACTCACGTCTCCGAGCCTAAAGTGTCCCTACAATAAAATGATGAACTTTCTGGGTGAAATCCAGTTGGAGAGAGAGAACTGGAGGACACCAAATTACTTTACGGGTTATTCATGCCCGTGCCACCTCTTGTGTGTGGCTTAATCTTTATCAATCAATCAATCAAATCGGACAGGCATACAAATGAGTAGTCAAAATCTAGAGTTCTGTGATGAAACTGACATGCTGGGAATGACGTTTGACTCTTTAATGACTCCGAAAAGCACATGCTTAAGCTAGCCAGCAAGGTTGCCAGGTATAGCTGGTATATTTCATGCCTTCTTGACAGCAGAGGTTACAAAACATTATATGAAGCACAAGTTCATTCCCATCTTGAGTATGCACCGCATTCCTGGACTGCCTGAACCCCCCTTATCATCCATTAGCATTTTTGGACAAGATAGAGAACAGTTGTTCATCTTCAGTTCTGAACAAGTGTGGTTCGACTTGTCTCGTTATCAGAATGTTTAAAACTGGAGAGATGTTTTGGGAGAAATGAGAGATAAGGTTGGTTATGTTGTTAGGTGAACTGTACTATGGGGTAGGTAGGTTGACCAGACCACACACTAGAATGTGAAGGGACGACGACGTTTCGGTCCGTCCTGGACCATTCTCAAGTCACAATCGACTTGAGAATGGTCCAGGACGGACCGAAACGTCGTCGTCGTCCCTTCACTTTCTAGTGTGTGGTCTGGTCAACATACTTTAGCCACGTTATTGTGACTCATCGCCTGCATGAGGTAGGTAGCCTTAATGGTGGAGCCTACCCAATTATACTCCTTCCCTTCCCTCCCCCAACCATTCTCCTCCCCCTCCCTCCCTCCCCCAACCATTCCCCTCCCTCCCTCCCTCCCTTCCTCCCCAAGCACACGTGACACAAGCACACAACAGTCCTGTGTGGCTCTCGTAAATAGGGCGACCTCTTGCTCTGGCGGCGGAAATGGTTGCATATCGCCTTGTCTTCCCCTCATCCTCTTCCCCCCCCCTCCCTGTGCTCCCTTCCCCTCTCTCTGCACCCTTCACCCCCCCCCTCTCCCCCCTCCCGTGTCCCCCTCTCCCTCACTCAACCCCTTCAACGTCCACCCCACTCACCCTTCACGCCTCCACTTACCCCAACGCTCTCACTCTGTTTCTTTACTCGTCTCTGCAATCATGTTTCTCTCTCCTTTTCTCTTCTCATTCTCTATTTTCTCTCTCCCTCTACTGCAGTTATCTCCCCCTCCCTCCTTCCCCCCCCCCTTCCCCCGTCTTAGTGACGTGGTGGGGAGACTCGCTTTGCGGGAAAAGATAAAGATAAGAAAGAAAAAGATAAAAGATAATTTCTTATACCGTGATTTCCCTGCCGGAAGACCCAGTGGGGCGGCCAGCACTATCCTCCAGCGGTCGACACTGCCGTGTGGGGTGTACAGTGAGGTAGGGAGTCTCGTCCGTACTGCCGGGGCGGTCTAGCACGATTTTGACCCGAAGGGTTTGAGGTCGAGTAGGGGGGGGGGTGATTTATATTATTGAAGTTGTGTTTTTGGAGGACAGGTGTTTGTCATGTGTGTGGATTTGTGTGTATGTGTGTGTGTGCGTGTGCGTGTGCGTGTGCGTGTGCGTGTGCGTGTGCGTGTGCGTGTGTGTGTGTGTGTGTGTGTGTGTGTGTGTGTGTGTGTGTGTGTGTGTGTGTGTGTTCCTCTGATGATCTTGTATCTCATCTTCATCATCATTATCCTTCTCCTCCTCCTCACCATCATCACTATCCCCCCTCTCTCACCATGGAAGTCCGACTCCCCTGTCCAGTAAACATTGTATCTCTCTGATGATTTCAGTCCAGGATCAGCCTAATTATCGCCTCTACTTGGTTGTCTCTAATGGCCTCGTAACGGTGGTTATGTGGTGTTGAGCTATCAACCTCTGGAGGGTTGTTAAGGCATGTTACCCTCCGGAAGGTGATAGAGGGCTATCAGCCTCTGAAGGGTTGTTAAGGACTATCAACATATGGAGGGTTATTAAGCTCTATCAACCTCTAAAGGGTTGTTAAGGGTTATGTCAACCGCTGGGGGGGGGGGGGTTAATGACCATCAAGCAAGTATGCTGTAGTGCTGAACTACAGTAACCTCGTAATGAACGTGTGTGCGTGCGTGTGCGTGTGTGCGTGCATCAATCACTCAGCGATGACCGAGAAGGGTCCAGCCATCCTGTTCATTCTACCATGTCTTAGTGTAGTCGGTCTTGTGCTTCTCTGGAAATGTTGTTTCATCTGGATCTAGACTTTGATCGTGGGGCAGGGAGGGTTCACGGACCGGCTGTGAGGTTCACGGACCAGTTGTGAAGCTCACGGACAGGCTGTGACCTTCGCGGACTTGAAAAACTGTGAGATAGTTTTAAAGTCCATTGGCGAACTTGTCTAATGCAAGATGTGACTTGTACACATCGTACCATCTCTCCGGCGCCCGCCTGTCTCCTACCGCCCTTTGATGTCACCACCGCGACGCAAAAATACCTTCAGTGGGAAGTCGTGAAAGGCGGTGTCCCCCTCTTGGCATCGTCATGTTCAGAGCGTCAGCTATAACTAGACTGATAACGTCGGTCTTTGGTACAGTAGGTTCGGTGATCTCTCGGTTAGTCGACCGAACTGAGATCGGACTTTTCCCAGCTATGTAGATTGTCAGGAAATGCTAATGGAGATTACCGATCCGTGTTGAACGTGCAGTGTAAAGTGGCAGGAATAAAGTGCAATTATTCTTTGGAAATATGACCTGAAGACTTGTTTTGGGGGATGCTGGTCACTTCCTACGTATAAGATGTTATGCGAATATATTTTCAAATCTAACCTAACCTAACTTAACCTACCCCAGCAAAGAAATGAGTGAAATACTGAGGCTTCAGTACGATTCTGTTTTCAGTGAACCTCTGACCACATTAAAGATCGATGATTCAATTGACTTCTTCATGAATGTGACGTCAACATGGAACCACATATCAGATGTCACCCTAACCCCACTGAACTTTGAAGTAGCCATTGACAGCATGACTACTCTGAACCAGGTCCATACTCGTGGAATTCTATATTCATCAAAAAGTGCAAAACATCACTATCACAGGCTCCTAAACATCTTTTGGAGACGGAGCTTAGATGCTAGCGTCATCCCTGACATACTTAAAACAGCGGATATCACGCCACTTCACAAAGGAGAAAGTAAAGCAGATGTAAAAAAAATTATAGACCAATAGTTCTAACATCACACATCATAAAAATATCTTTGAAAGAGTACTAAGAAATAAGATTATAAATCACATGGAAACACAACATCTACACAACACTGGTTCAGAACAGGGCGCTCCTACCTCTCTCAGTTGCTAGATCACTATGACATGGCCTCAGGTGCCGTGGAAGTCAAGCAAAACGCTGATGTAATATACACAGACTTTACAAAATCATTCGACAAATGTGACCATTGTGATATTACGCGTAAAATGCGTGCAAAGGGAATTACAGGCAAAGTAAGGAGATGGATCTTCAACTTCCTAACGAACAGAACGTAGAGTCAATACAGTAAACATTGTATTGACAATAGTCAATACAGTAAAATCCGGATCATCTACTGTGAAAAGCTCAGTCCCCTAAGGTACCGTGCTTGCTCCAGTACTTTTTTTCATCTTGATATCAGACATAGACAAGGATACAAACTACAGCATTGATCATCATTGGCATATGATACCAGGATTTCCATACTAGTAGACAATATAGAGGACACGACAAACCTCCAGTCGGATGTAAATCCGGTCTTTCAATGGGTCACAGATAATATTATGATGCTTATTGAAAATAAGTTCCAGCTCCTGCACTATGGAAAAATGAAAATTTAAAAATGGAAACCATATATAAAATAGAATCAAATTATAATATATAATGAACATAATTATATTATTATTATAATTTTTTCCATAGTGCAGGAGCTTTGGAAAATTATTGTTTTCTACCACAGACGTGGCCATACATTTACAATACTAAGCAGCATATATACAATTTCTTCTGTCCTCCATGAGCTGCATGGGTCAAATTCCTGGTGACGTCATATCTGGTGTAACATCTTGCGCGGAATATAGGATTGCTGATAATGGTTGCAACAAACTGGCCACCAGTCTAAACAGGAGCTCTACAAATGTCTCCACATCCATATAGGATGAGAAGGATATATGACCAAGCAGCAACGGGTGGACATCATCCACTTTGCATAAGCCGTGTGGACCTGTCAAGCCACACTGGCTTGACAAGTTTGACTCTTACTAAGATAGTAAACTGTTAGAGTGTAGATGATGTATAGCCAAATCGGGATCAATAAACCTCAGACGTCATCCCACCGCTGCCACCATTATTGTTTATCTTATTATCCGTGCTTGGGTAACCAATAAAACTTAACCTAACGATTGGAAGAATATATTGATACACAGCTGATGGCCTGGTTACGGCTCTGGAGACATGATCAGTACATGAATCAATCTCTACTCCCCCAACATAGGTCATTTTCTTAGCCGGTATCATGTTGTTCATTACTGTAACGCCTCCATCTTCACGCGTGAGGGAGGAGGGTGTAGGTGTGGTAGCCAGGTCAGAGGTTCAGTTGGCTGCGAGCCGTGGTGGAGTGCGGGTGTGTTTTGCTGTTCGCGCCCTCAGCCCCAGCGCGTGCTACACCGCGCGGGGGGTGTTCCACTCACCTGTTCTCCGCATGGTGTGGGCGCGATGCCTTCAGTGATGTGCGCGGCGCAAGAAAGATGTGTTGATATTACAGGGTGTGAAGCATAACCCCCTTTCCGTGTGATGTGCCTTGTCAATCCAGGAAATTGAAATAAGTTTATTGTGGTATAAATGTACACAAAGGGATGAGGTAGCTCAAGCTATTCTCATTCTGTTATGGATGTTGCAAGATGATTTGCAACAGTGGCTTACTCATCACTCGCAAGCTGAAAGAACTCGTCACCGGTGGGGACTTGTCGCCTATTAAACGTCCCCCTGCTGTCAAGGATGTCACTGTCAAGCCCATCAGTGCCGAGCCTGTCCACCTGTGTCACGGAGGTGTCATGCCAGGTGTCACGTCGTGTCATAACTCGCAGGTCAGACATGGTCATTTTCCAAGACCGGGTCACCCTGTGGGAGGCAGAGAGTGTGGAGATGGGGGAGGCTGGGAGAGTCCCAGCCTGGTATGTGGGTCCCTAAAGGGGACTCCCAGCTCAGTGTGTGGGTCTCAGAGGCAGAGTCCCAGCTCAGTGTGTGGGTCTCAGAGGCAGAGTCCGAGCTCAGTGTGTGGGTCTCAGAGGCAGAGTCCGAGCTCAGTGTGTGGGTCTCAGAGGCAGAGTCCGAGCTCAGTGTGTGGGTCTCAGAGGCAGAGTCCGAGCTCAGTGTATGGGACCCTGAGAAAGAGTTACCTATGTGGGGAGGCTGGGTCTCTCTGCCACCCGGACAGAGAGGTCAAGTCACAGTCGGAGTACACCAAACTGAACGGAAAGACTGTAAGGCTACACTCCTCCAGTCTGCCCAGAGCCTTACACACCCGTGGGGGCAGGAAGAGCCACCTGTGCCAGCAGGAGCACGGCGCCCTCCGCAACACCCCTCCCCCAGGAGTGCCCGCCAGGCTGGTGATCGACGAGGACCACGCTAGAGTCCATTATGTTGCTCTCTCGGACATCTACGCAGAGCTGCCGCGCAAGAAAAAGAAACCTTGCACCGTGCTGGCCTGTTCCCATCACCGCCACGACCACAACACCACCTACACCACCAATCCCCACACCACCAATCCCCACACCTCCAATCCCTACACCACTAATCCCCACACCAACACCAACTTCTCCTCAAGGAGTCCGAACTCTTCCACTCCCGAAGAGAAAAATAAATTCAACTCCCTCGAATTCTCGCGGAAGAAACAAGACAAATCCAAGTTCTTCCAAAAATTCAATTCTCTAGATCGTGGATGGAAGTCGTTCATGTCGCCAAAGAATAACTGTAACAAAAACAGCGAGAGTGGTCTCTCGAGGCCGTCGACAGGACGAGACGTGAAGGCGTCGACCAGCCAACGGGTCGACGAGGGCAGCAACGCCAAACTCGACGCGTCCAAAGATAAGGTTAACCCTGGCAGAAGCTTAGGTTGCCACCCGTGGTCCCGACCAAGACCCGCCAAAGACAGACACCGCTGGAGGTGGCCCAGCGCCTCCGAAGTCCTGGTGCACCAGCCTCCGGCGCCTTCAGGAGGACAGAGTGGGAAGAATGACAGAGGGAAAGAAGAGAGCGTTATCTGCACGTCGCAAGAGGAGGACAAACAAGCGAGCAGCGGCGATCCCACCTATCAGTGCCACACCCTTCCCAAAGCACGTGAGTAATCCAATCGTGCAGAGTGGTGGGTGCGGCGATGGGTAAAGGGGGGGAAGAAGGGGTTTAGACAGCAGGAGCAGAAGGGGAAAATTACCATACTTGCCCCATGGCGAGATGTCTGTCTGGCGGTCACATTTCCCCTGCGCATCCATGGGAAATATCTAGAAAAATTCCAGGAAATTCTGATCGTCCAATCGACGAGAAATAAAACGCTTTCAATTTTTCTCACGGCCAACAAAAATGTATTTCCTACAGGCAGCACTGAACCCGGGGAAGGGTTCGTGTTAATTGTTAAATCTCACCTCAAGTGCTAATTAACTTTTATGTGTTTTTTTTTGTTTCAAGAGGAAAAGTGTTAAGGAGTGGGTGAGATAGTGATGGGAAGGGTGCAGGGTGAAGTGGGGGGGGAAGGGTAGTGATGGAAGAGGTCCCCCACTAAACAGTCTATTGTCTCCAACTTGACAAAGAAAACATGTAATGACTTCACTCTCTCAACAAATGGTGCGCCATGATACGCGGCCCAGGAACCACCCCCTCCCCCCACACCCTCCCCCCCACACCCAGTACCTCACTCTCCCTCACACCCACTCCTCCTTCTCTACCACCGTCATCCACACCCAATCATCCACACCCAATCATCCAGTGTTACTAATTCGTTCACCGATCCAGTCATCTGTCCAACCACACAAACTGGATGATTCCCATAGACGTTTACCTCGCACGCACGCACGCGCACACACACACACACACACACACACACACACACACACACACACACACACACACACACACACACACACACACACACACACACACACACACACACACACACACAGGGAGAAAGACCTGGGAGTGGGCATGACCCCAAATCTCTTGCCAGAAGCCCACATTAACACAATACCATCAGCTGCATATAGCCTACTAGCCAACATTTAAGTATCCTTCAGAAACTTACAAAGGGGCTTTTCCGCCCAGGAGGCCTGGTCGACGACCGGGCCGCGGGGACACTAAGCCCCGGAAGCACCTCAAGGTAACCTAACCGCCCCTATACACAACAAAGGTGAGAGCCACTCTTGAATATGTCCCCCCCCCAACCCCAGCATTGAACCCTTACCTGGAAAAGGACAAGGAGAAACTTGAAAAGGTGCAAAGATATGCAACAAGGCTGAGCTGAAGGGGATTGAGCTATGTGGAAAGACAGAGATTCAATTTCTTTTTTTATTATGCACCCCATACCCATCCCGTCGTTGGGTGGTGGAATGGGTTACAGAGGCACATAATGGGTTCAGGAACTGAACCCCCCCCCCATACATAGTTCGTTTAGCTAAGCAAGTGACAAGGTTGTGAAGCTAGTTACACATTTGTTAGTGTTATATATACATATACTGTATATATACATACACGTGTACTGTATACAAGCAGCTATACATGAAGACACAGAACACGTTGCGTCAGCGCATGCGTCCCCTGCACGCGTTGCGTCAGCGCATGCGTCCCCTGCACACGTTGCGTCAACGCATGCGTCCCTTGCACGCGTTGCGTCAGCGCATGCGTCCCTTGCACGCGTTGCGTCAGCGCATGCGTCAACGCATGCGTCCCTTGCACGCGTTGCGTCAGCGCATGCGTCCCTTTGCACGAGTTGTCGGTTCGCGAAGTTTGTTGTTGTTGTTTAAGATTTAGCTACGCAGAACGCAGTGTCCATGTAGCACCGGCTATGGTGAGCCCGTGAGTTCGCGAAGAGAGCATGCGGGCAATAAACTGTCGCAGGTGCAGTAAAGGTGAGATGCAGCGTTTATGCCTGCTCTAGTCCGGTGGGGCTGAGGGCAGCTTGGTCGTGTTATCTTCTTGAGGTTATCTTGAGATGATTTCGGGGCTTTTTAGTGTCCCCGCGGCCCGGTCCTCGACCAGGCCTCCACCCCCCAGGAAGCAGCCCGTGACAGCTGACTAACACCCAGGTACCTATTTTACTGCTAGGTAACAGGGGCATAGGGTGAAAGAAACTCTGCCCAATGTTTCTCGCCGGCGCCTGGGATCGAACCCAGGACCACAGGATCACAAGTCCAGCGTGCTGTCCGCTCGGCCGACCGGCTCCCTTGGTATAACCATTACTTCCTTGGTTATAACAACGTCCTATAGTTATAGGCAGTAGGGAACTATGAGGGGAAAGCGCCAAGCCATGACGACTATATAGCACTGGAAAAGGATCAGGATAAGGATTTGGGATAGGACTGGGAAGGGATAAGGATTTGGGATAGGACTGGGAAGGGAAAGGAATGGTGCTCCTTTCATTATAATTATTGCCTTTATTTCTATAATTTCTCTACTTGCTATAATTACTATTCTACTATGACTTTCTAGTATTGTAATTGCTACTTCTGCTGAGCTACAATAGGCCTATTTATGTGTTTAACTAGATATGCCTATTTGGCATTCAAGATTCGGCGTTGCAAAGAACTGGCTTCTTTATGAGAAGTTTAACCCATACTGAAGTCATATCTCTGTTATCTGAGCTGTAGCAGTGAAGATAGTATTTTAGATACTATTTAGATACTATTTATTTAGTGTTAACAAACAGACACCGATAAATAAGAGAGAAATAAGGATTAAGTTAACAGTGATCACAAAGAAATTAGCTTTAATATAACAGGGAAAAAGCTATGGGAGAAACATTTCTTAAGGTGCCAGATTTCCGTAAAGTTGATTTTGAGAGTTTAAGAATTGTCTTCTGTCCTGGGGACGGGACGATAACCTAGGGTAGAGATTGAATCTATCGTAGGTTATATATATTGTATCTATCGTAGTGTATTCCTGTATACCTTGTGGGTCTCTTGTAGAGTAAGGTCAGTAGCACGGTCTATGGTGAGCCCGTAGTGGACTTACCCGGCACAGGAGCGGGGCTGTGACTGGGTGTTAGTCAGTATAGGTATTGTTTCATACTTTAGTGGGGTGGTTGGTGAAGGGTAGGCGATGGGTAGGGTGACTGGAGAAGGGAAGGTGATGGGTAGGGTGACTGGAGAAGGGAAGGTGATGGGTAGGGTGACTGGAGAAGGGAAGGTAATGGGTAGGATGGCCAATAGAATATATTGACCACGGAGTGACCATCTACTCCCTAGGGGTGCTTTACTGGATTGCTCGAACTCTTAGAGTTGACAGAAATTGATTGATACTGTGAGGGGAATCAGGAGGCTTAGTGAAGACTTGGGCCGGTTGTATATCTGAGAGAGAGAGAGAGAGAGAGAGAGAGAGAGAGAGAGAGAGAGAGAGAGTATTCAATGATTGAGGAAGTCTGTAGTAGGGAAACACATCCTGTGTGTGATAGGGGGGGGGGGGAGGGGGGGGTCCAGGTGACCTCTCGTACGAAGAGATAAATTGTATTTTTTTTCGGGTTAAGATTGACAGCAGATAAGATCCTTTGTTTCGTTCCTTTGGCGTGTTCCGTAAGTCAGTGTAGGTAGGACCTACAGGTGTTCCTTGTTACGTGGTGGGGACCTACAGGTGTTCCTTGTTAAGTGGTGGGGTCCCACAGGTGCTCCTTGTTACGTGGTGGGGTCCCACAGGTGCTCCTTGTTACGTGGTGGGGTCCTACAGGTGTTACTTGTTACGTGGTGGGGTCTACAGGTAGACCCATGGTAGTGGAGTATTCCTGGAGTGGGTTGTGGAAGCTGTACTCCACAACCCCGTTCTGAGGACCAGGCTAGACTTGTGATAACTTGGTCCAACAGACTGTTGCTTGGAGCGGCCCGCAGATACCATAACTTGTGAGGAGTCTTCACACCCCCGAGGTGGTGGGGTCCAGGAGCCTACGCTGGGGTCGGGGCTGGGGTCACTGACCCCAGGCACCTTCTTCCCACTAACTACACTACCACCACCACCATTGAAACTACCACCACTACCTACACCCTCGCCACCACTACCACTACCACCCTCCCCATCACCTGTGTGTGTGTACTGGTCTATTTGTGCCTGCAGGATCGAGCTGTAGCTCTCGGACCCCGCCTTTCAAGCTGCCGGTTGTCGGGAAAGAGTGCAGTGACTCCAGACCTATTTCTGTATCTAATGAATTCTGAGTGGTAATTATCTTCAACCTGCTGCTTTAGTTCATTCAATCTTTCCACTATCACTCAATCTTTCCAGGGAGCCGGTCGGCCGAGCGGACAGCACGCTGGACTTGTAATCCTGTGGTCCCGGGTTCGATCCCGGGCGCCGGCGAGAAACAATGGGCAGAGTTTCTTTCACCCTATGCCCCTGTTACCTAGCAGTAAAATAGGTACCTGGGTGTTAGTCAGCTGTCACGGGTTGCTTCCTGGGGGTGGAGGAGGCCTGGTCGAGGACCGGGCCGCGGAGACACTAAAGCCCCGAAATCATCTCAAGATAACCGTCGTCTCTTACTCGTTTCGTTATCATAGTGAATATTTCTTTCTCCACTCGGTCAATCTCCTTAGTATTTTATATGTCTCGAGCATGTTCCCTCTCTTTATATATCGCCTCGTTTTCTTGCGACGATCGGTGTTCAATCCCCCGACCGTCCAAATGGTTGGGGCACCATTTCTTCCCCCCGTCCCATCCCAAATCCTTATCCTGATCCCTTCCCAGTGCTATATAGTCGAAATGGCTTGGAGGTTTCTCTTGATAACTCCCTTCCCTTCCCTTCCCTTCCCTTCCCTTCCCTTCCCTTCCCTTCCCTTCTCTTCCCTTTCTTTTGTGCTTTTTGAGTCGGGGACGCTTCAGGATAGAGCTGCATACTTTAGACTTGGTCTCACGTAGATGGCGTGCAGTAACCTGAATGCCTCCTTATTTAGGTTCCTGAATATGGAAGCATTAAGTGTAGAGTACGCTGCTGATGTTATCCTGTTTACATATGCCCCCCAGAGTTAGGATTGGTGCTATACCCATTCCCAGGTCTTTTTCTCGAGTCGTTACAGGTGCGTAGTTTGCCCTTCATTGTTCACCTGCTCTCCTGGCACCTGTTCCCAATTAGCTCACATTACACTTGCGTGTGT